TTCTCATCCTTACTGCTCTTATCTGTAATAACAGTAATTTTTTCATTCAACAAAGCCAAGTCAAGATCCATCACACCTAAGTGAAACTTGACTTGGTCATGACATTTAGAGAAATTCAACCCATTGAACACAGTAACAGACGAATGAAGAGGAATAACTGCAAATAGATACATGTTCACATATAAAGAATAATGTGAATTCAGTAAAACGACAAAAGTACATCGTAATTCTCCTTTGGGTAGATACTACGACACATTATCATAATTTAAATATCATTTAAAAAAAATCTTTAATAGAAAATTAATAATTTTAATCAAACATATATGACATCTTTGGATATACAATATATGTTTAATTGAAAATATTAATTTACCTCATAGTTTTTCACTATTCGTAGAATGATAGATTCACCTTTGGGTAAAACTTTTAAGTTCTAGCAATAGTGAAAATCAATTTATCTATTTATTTTTCAATATAGGCATTTAGTTAACTTTCATAGATAAATGACAATTTTATGAGTGCATATTTTTCTCAATCATACTAGTTTGTCCTCTTTGGTGACTAACAAGTTATATGAATACAAATGCATACATAATATCATAAAATTTTGTGCATGTGAATAATTTTAAATATTTTAGTTTGGCCACTTTGGTGACTAACAAACTATAGAAACATAATAGAGGCATAAGTGATCATAAACATGATATATGTAAACGTTAATTTTCTCTAGTTTGGCAACTTTGGTGAGTACAAACTATATAAATACAAAAAACACATAACATCATAATTTTTGTTCATATGAATAATTTTAAACGTTTTAGTTTGGCCACTTTGGTGACTACAAACTATAGAAACATAATGCATGCATCAAGTGATCATAAACATTATATGTGTATATGTTAATTTCTCTAGTTTGACCACTCTGGTGACAAATTATATAAATATAAAGCATAAATAACATCATAAATTTTTTGTGCATGTGAATAATTATTAACATTTTAGTTTGGTCACTTTGATTGCTAACAAACTATAAAAGCATAATCAATGCATCATGTTGAAAAATTAGACTCAGTCCCTCTTGAAATATTGAACGTGCCAACAAATAATGAATTGTACTATTCACATATGCCAAGTGAACATAAATATTATATTTGTAAACATTAATTTCTAGTTTGGCCACTTTAGTGACTAACAAACTATATGGCACTAAGTACACATATATTATTTATTACTTAATATAATGACCACTTTAACTTATTACACAATCTAAAGAAAACATAATTATTACATTATGGGAGGATTAAAATTTTCAGATTTGAGCAATCTAAAGCAAAACATAATTATATATTTATTTAGGAATGGTGGGCGGTAATTACTCTTTATTACCCTACCAAGGCTGATGTGGTTATATAATTTATGAAGATTATATGTTCAAATAATCCAGGCTCTGATGCCAAATGTAAGATTAAATACTTTTGATAACATAATATCAGGATCTTGAACACGATAATCTTACATATAAATCGTTAGGGGTACATACCTGATGAGGAAAACACCATCACAGAAAAAAGAGAAAGCGTTAGTCGTAAATTGGTTTCTACCTCCTTGCCCTTACATTATGTTACCACAATTGGAATTATTATTGTAGAACATATGTGGTTAACCCTAATGAGTGGAGGGATGACCAATTTATAGAGGTTATTATTTAATCTGGTACATCCATCAAGTAACCAATGTACGGACGAATTCTATTCCTTTTTAAATAATATTTATGGTATTACTTAGGTTACAAGTAAACTTGAGCCATAAGCAAGAAATAATAATAATAATAATTCTTACATGATGCACAAATATCTCGCTCTCTTTGAAGAGATTCAAGCCCACTACGGCATAATCTACACCAATCCAGCAGTAATACTCTTGACTAGTCTCCTCCAAGATACAACAGCCCAACAACATGTACAACTCAAGCAACTCCGGATTAGTTGAAGAGTCCAAAGCTCCACAAAAAGAACACCTTCCTTCAACATATAATACTCTGTTTGGTATATAGTGAATACAATTCAAAACTTAGAATATTATTCTTTGTCTCAACTCTCTCTTTCACTACTACATTCAATATAAACGTAATAAAATACTACTCATCTTTACTCTATATATTTTCTTGTATTTCTCTTGTTATTTTTTTCTCTACCAACACAAAGAAACACCACACTATTTATAGTTGATGAAGTCTTCCTTGCAATGAAATGGAAGATAGTGGGTAGTAAATTTGTTAAATGAATGACTCAAATGTTACATAAGTTACAAGACATAAATATTGCATAATGGATGAAATGAAGAGTTGATGGTTACATAAGTTACAAAAACTAATGATCACTTTCTTCCACAATTGATGAGAGTAAAAAGGCAAATGTAATGTCCATCAATAGACATAAATGATATAATATACTTTTATTAGTATTAAAATGTCATACCAACAGATTTGTTAAAGAATTTATAAATACATTTTCTATTGATTGAAGATTTTTAGCGAAAAGGCTCAAATATGTCGTCGAACTTTCAGAAAAGGCTCATTTATGTCATCAGTTAAAAGTTTGGCTCATTTATGCAATTACCATTAAAGAAAAGGCTCATTCATTCCTATTTTATTGAATATATTCAACAAACTTATAATTATTATTTTAACGGCGTTTTAAGAAATACTATAAAATCTGATGTTTTTTTATATCAAGGTAAACATTGTTTGTAAATTTAGGTGGAGGGTCACCTATTGGACTGACCCGACCCGACCCTGGAGATCAATTATCTGAAAAGAGATAAGAATTACTTATCTCTTATTTGGAAAATAAGAGGGAACAATTATTAAACTGAACCCTCTTATTAAAAAAGATTTATTCCTTTGTGGTTGATTGTGTGAGACAGGCAACGTAAAAATACCAACAACAGAAAACACAAATTAGAAGATAAAAAAACTTTTTCTTTACGAAGATATATTTAGTTTGTGAATCTATCTTTGATTCCTAGTGATTCAAAGCAGGATTTTGAAGAAATCGACTTCCACTGCAAAACTATAAGGTACACAATTCGTTGATTTCTTTCTATAATCCTACATTGTCAATATCTTTGTTGTTTATTTAGCATATTAGATTGTATAGTGTCTATAACTTCAGACATGGGGCGTAGTGTTAATGGACATGATTATTAACTATTACTACACATTGAATTCATCATAACTGGAATTTGCAAAAAAGAATCTTAAGTTATAAAGAATGTGTAGAGAAAAAAATGGTGCATATGCAGCATCAAATATTTTGGGTTTTTAGATTTTTACATGTTTATAGATAAAGTAATGAGTGTCACATTAGACGATGCATCTAATAATAGAAATGTTGCTAGTATGTTAAAAGTTAGATTATGTCCAATTGATAGTAATGTTTTTCATGTTAGATGTGTTGCACATGTATTAAACTTAGTTGTACAAGATGACATTTCATTATTTGATTGTGGCTGTATGAAAATTGAATATTTTATTTTATTATTTTTTTATGCTCTTAGACCTTCTAAAATTAGGAAATTTAACGAGCGTTGTGTACTGTCTAATTTGCCACCAAGAAAAGTTTAAAAATATATTAAAATAAGGTGGAATTCCTTTTACGAAATGTTTACAGTTACTTATGAATATGAAGGACCCATACAAATGATGCTTAATGCTCATAATATTGACCCATTAGACAAAATTTGTGAAGAAGATTGAGAAGAAGCTAAAGAACTATTGAAATTTTGAAGACTTTATTATCATGCTACAACCATGTTTTCTGGAATTTATTATCGTACTGTTTCATCAGTATTAACAAATATTTGTGATATTTCAATTCAATTTTCTAAATACAAAAAAAAATGAAAAAATTAGAGTTGCAATTGAAGGTATGATTGAATTTTTTTACAAATATTCTTTTCTATAACTCAAATTTATTTAATTACTACTTTATTGAACTGTGAATATAAATAATGAGGTGTGCAGGACTTGTTGGGACATTTTATGATACTTTAGAAATTTCACCTGAAGAAATTTCAACTTGTGAATTGTATAAATCTAGAATAAAAGTAGAAGCAAAAATTTTGTATGAAAAATATAGAAACTATTGAAGGAGAAATTGGACAAACTTCTCATGCTACTAGTAAAGATCAAATCAATAATTTTATGCGAGGATTTTTTTTGTCTTAATTCTTCTAATAGTGGTAATTTTTAAGAATTTCTTTATCAGTCTTTTGAAAATAGTTACGACGATGATGGCAATGTAGAAATATTAGCATGGTGGAGAAGACGGAGCATTAAATTTCCAATTCTTAGCAAAATGGTTCGCGATATTCTAGCTATTCAAGTTTCATCAGTTGCATCGGAGGCTGCTTTTAGTGGGACAAAGATTCAACTTGAACATCATTGACATTCATTGGCGGAAAAAGTTGAAACATTAGTTTTATTTAGAAACTAGATCAACACCGAGAGGAGGAATTATAGATTGCCAAAATTAACTTCCAAACAAGTAGCTTGGATTAATTCAGTAATTTGAACTAGTGATAATGAATTAGAGGCACAAGAGTTTTGTGCAGGATTTTCAACACAGAAGGATGTTACCGTCGACTTGACACGAGAATTAGAGTCAAATTTTGTTGGAGAGTACAAATATTAAATTACATCTGAGAACTATTTGAAGCAGAACCCTTCCTAGAAGATGGCTGCGTAGATTAGTTACTCCTCTAATAATTGTAACAAATATTAAATTTACATAGTTTACATCTCTACTTTATTCAAAGGGCGAAACGTCGTGGTGATTCAAAAAATAATCAATTAACTCATTTTAAAGAATTTAAAGAATAAACAAATTTTAAAGGGAGTCGCCACCTAATTTTAGGGGAAAATAGGAAACCAATTAATGTGATCTACGAAACCATTAAATTCTAGATAAGAGTTCAAGTTATTCCGAAGAGAAGGCGTAAGGCATCCTTTGAAATCCACAACTATGGATCCCAACTGAATTTATTTTATCAAATTGAGAAGAAGTTAAAAATAATATACAAATATAATAACATGCAATATACATGAGTAATAAAATAAAATTATAATAATGTAAGACACGACCTAAAAGTTGTCTAACATCGATAATATATACAATAGTAGCTAAACAATATGATTCGAACTTTATTCGAATAGCTCCAATGGGAAGAAGCTTCGTGTACCTGTAAACACACTTCGTAAAAGTGTTAATACTAAATAAACATGAATAAGAATAAATGAAATAAATAATAACTTAAAATAAAAATTCGTTTTATATACATGGAAGGCATTGTTAATCGATAGTAATTTTTTCATCGATCAATCACAACACAAAATATATATAAACTTAAACTAATATTTCGCCTTTTATAATGAATAGACCTCGAAAACCAACGGATTTTTTTTTATTGGGCAACTAAACTTTGACATTTTCCATATACAAAATCACATAAAACTAACATTAGAAAAGATAACATAAAATAATATTACTGTGAAAATAGTGACCAATGATAACAATAAATCTCACTAAAATTCTTATAAAAATGCATTATATCCAGAGTTAATACCTCAGAAGGTTACTCAACTATGCATTCTTTTCTCAGAAAGTCACTCAACTTTTAATTTTCACTCAAAAGTCACTTAACTATGCACTTCTTTCTCAGAAAGTTACTCAATTTTGAATGTTAATTCAAAAATCACTCAACTATTTACTTTTTCCTCAAAAAGTCACTCAATTTATTAAATTGTTTTTTATTAAAATTTATTGATATTAATTATTTATATAACAAACCAAAATTTTTAAAAAATAAAAATAGCATTTAAACCATTTAGTGATCCACCCACCTAACTCGACCCATTAAAAAATATGATATGACCCATTTTATTTTGTCTTTAATCCTAATTCAAGGTTTAAAGAGAGGAATTAATTTAAAATTAAAGATAAAATAAAATGGGTCATATCATATTTTTTAATGGGTCAGGTTAGATGGATGGATCACTAAATGGTTTAATTTATTTTTTAAATTTGGTTTGTTATATAAATAATTAATATCAATAACTTTTAATTAAAAAAAAATTAATAGATTGAATGAAAGAGTGGATAGTTGAGTGACTTTTGAGTTAAAATTCAAAGTTGAGTGACTTTTTGAGAAAGAAAGCAATAGTTGAGTGATTTTTGAGTGAAAATTTAAAGTTGAATGATTTTCCGAGAGATTAATTGAGTGATCATATGAGGTATTAACTCATTATATCCTGTGTAACAAAACTAACAGCAACCAAACATGAGTAAATATAGGACAACCATAAATAAATGAATTAGCCACATAAATAAATATGGAAATAAAAAGAATTGAAACGAACCACATTCACTAACTGCTAAAATGGAACAAATACCTGCTACTGGAGTTTGACTTTGGATGAATTTCAAAATATCAGTGACTTGATAACATGAAGAAGAAAATAACAATGGCCGGAGTTTGAAACCCTCCGGCCAGATCTGAAATGCACAGAATAAACAAAACAAAAACGATGAAGGATAGAAAAAATATAGTGAGCTATCATTTACCGTAGTTACTAACGTTGAGGAAGAAATGGTGGTCCGTCGGGTCGGCACCATTGTTGGCGTGTTAGAGCTCGGAGCTTGCGGGATTGTTGTTTGGTGTTCCGATTCTGGTGGTGTTTCAGCTTGTTCGAGTGGTTGTGGGTCTGGTTCCGTTTGCCGGTAGTGAGCTGGTGGAGCTCGATAAATGGGGGGTTTGGACGGGGTTTTGATGGGGTTTTCTGGTGGGTTTTTATGGAGTTTGTGGCTTTTTTCGGTGAGTTTGGAGTTGTTGTTTAGTGCTGTTTCAGCTGCTGCTGGGTGGGTGGCTGAAGTTGTCTGGTTAAAGAAGAATGAAAATGGGGTTTGGGGTTTTGGGGTGTATCTAGACTGGGAGAAAACGGCAGAGCAAGGGTGGTTTAATGGTTGGTTTCTGGTTGTTGTTTTGGAAGAAGAATAGTTGGATTTTGGTTGTCGGAAAATTGAATCGTTGATGGAGAATCATTGAATATAAATCTCACGATATTGCAAAAATAAAACAGTTAGCTATTTTAGAATTATTAAATTATTTTATTAAAATCTAATGTAATTTGAGTCTAGGAATTAGTTCTTTTATTTATTGTTTGAATTATACTAATAAGTAACATATTTTTCTATTTAGTTAGAAATTATATATAAAAATATAACTCTTTGGATTATCTTAATAATATTGCAGTATTTCTTTTCTTAAAGTCTTTCTCTGTTATTTTTTTAATCTCTTTATTAAAAATCAATAATTGGTATCTGAAGCCTTCTTTTTGAGGGGCTTGTGAGTAAAAAAATGAATTCTGAAAATAGTATTTCTGGAATGACCCTCCTATTTTTTATGGTGAGAATTATCAACTATGGACTGTGAGAATGAAAACTTACTTGGAGGCTTTTGGTTTGGGAAGCCGTAGAAGAAGATTAAGAAATCATTCCGCTGCTAAATAATCCCACCGTGGTCCCAATCAAGAGTCACTCGAAAAATAAAATCATGAAGTCAAAAACAACTGTGTTTGTTGCTGTTTCGATAACTATTTTACAAAAGTCATGGCTCTCACATAAACAAAGATATTTGAAATAGTCTGAAGAAAGAATATGTTGGAAACGAAAGAATACGAGGAATGAAGGTATTAAGTTTAATGAGGGAATTCGAATTGCAGAAAATGAAAGAGTCATAAATATTCAAGGAATACTCTGACATTGTTTGGTATTGTCAAATGGTAAAATTACTAGGCACAAAATTTAAAGATATAAGAGTTGTTGAAAAAGTTTTTGTTACAGTGCTCGAAAGATATATAAGATCTGTCTAAAATTACCTTGGCAAATTGTTAAATTATTTGCACGCTCAGGAACAAAGGAGACTTATGAGGTAAGATAACATGGTTGAAGGAGCATTAGTAGCCAGCCAAAGGTAGGTAATTTTTCAAAAAATTACCCTTATTTTGAGTTTTGTGGCTCCATATAAATGTTGGAAAAGACCAGATGCACAGTGCAAGAACTGCAAACAACATGGTCATGAAGTTGTAATGTACAAAGACAAATTTCAAAAGGATGAAGCAGTTGCCCAAGCCACTATTGAAGAAGAAGAAGAAGAAGAAGAAGACCACTTGTTTGTGGCTACTTGTTTTTCAATCAAAAAATCTAATTTTTGGATGATTGATAGTGATTGTAAAAACCACATGACATATGAAAGAAATCTTTTTAAAGAGTTCATTCCAATGGAAAATAAGAAAGTCAGAATTGAGATTGATGATTGTATTCCTGCAAAAGGAAACGGGGCTGTTTCAATTAAAACAAATTTAGGTACATAATTTCAGATGTTCTTTATGTGCATGATATTGATAAAAGTTTGTTTAGTGTTGACCAGTTAATAGAAAAAGGATTTAAATTATTATTTGAAGACAAATATTAACTTGATTCTACTAAGCAAAAGATTTTATAAGTTAAAATTAGAGGTAAAAGCTTCTCATTTAGTCCATTAGTAGTATATATTTTTTTTAATTTAGAAATAATATATATAGATATAAGTCTTTGGATTATTAATAAAATAATTCCCTTTGATAATATATGGTATTTTTGTCTCTCAAAGTTTTTCTCTGTTAATTTTTTTAATTTCTTTATTAAAACCCAACAAGAATTGAGGTCTGTTGGAGGAGAGGGAGAACAATGAAGGAATAAGAAAAAGAAATGAAAATTTCACCATAAAAACAGGAAAAAAAACGAAAGGAATTTTAGGTGATGGACTCATCGGATTCCAGCATAACTCAGGTCACTTGCTAGAAAAATAACAAACAATAAAAAAAGAACTTTTTTGAAGTCTGAAAAATTAATCCCTAAAATTTATCCATCACCATCCTAACTTTATGATTAAGAAATAAATTAAGGGTGTGTTTGAAAAATGTTTTCCAATTTTCTCATGTTTGGTTGATACAAAAGTTTTGAAAATGTTTTCCAAATCAACTCATTTTCCTTAAAATTAAGAAAAATGACTTCCCTTCGAAAGTTAAGGAAAATATTTTTCAAAAATCTCATCGAACACAAATCACTTTTTTTTAGAAACACAATGTCTAAAAAATATTTTCAATTTCAAAATTTTATATTTTCACGCCACCCTCCCCCAAGCCCCGATCATCCCTACACCCCCTCCAAAAAAATTATTTTTTTAAAAAAATTATTTTCAATATAAAAATTTTATTTTTTTCACCCGGTCTCCGGACTACCCACCCCCTGCACACACACACACACCCAAAAAAAACTTAAGTTTGTTTTTAAAAAATATTTTTCAACTTGAAAATTTTATTTTTTCACCCAAAACCTTCCTCCCCCCAACCAAAAAAAAGTTTGTTTTGAAAAAATATTTTCGACTTCAAATATTATTTTTTCACCTCTACCTCGACCCCTGCCCGCCAACACCCACCGTACCTCCCAAAATAAATTTTCTTTTTATTTTTAAAAATATTTTCAACCTTTAATTTTTTTAATTTAACCCCTCCCCCTCCACCTCCACCCTACCAGCCCCCCACCCCAAAAAAAAATAATTTTTTTAAAAAATTTAACTTTAAATTTTTATTTTCCGCCCCTTACCCACCCCACCCCGCCAGCCCCTTACTAGCCCCAACCCCCACCCAAAAAAATAATTTCAAAATTATTTTCTTCTCTAGTAAAAATAAAAGATATTTCTCAAAATTATTTATCATTTATAAATCAAACACTAAAAATCATTTCCCAAATGTATTTTCTACTCACCAACCAATCATGGGAAAATAAATCATAAATCTACTTGTTTTCCAGGAAAACAAGAAAATACCAAACACGCCCTAAAAAGAAAATCAAAAACCACATATAGTACAATGCTATTATCTAAAAAACCATTGGCCGAAACCACTAGTTAACTCAAATATCTTGATGAAATTTTATCTATATTTGAATAATTTCAAGACTATTCCAAATATCAAAATGAATATTAACAAATGTAACGAATAAAATGAATATTAAAAAAATATAATAAAATTAATTAAAGACACGTAAAAAGTGCAATTTAGCATAAATAACGATTTAATTAAAATGAACAAAATATTTGAACCTAATTAACCAACTATGACAAAAAAAATAATGTAATTAAAATTAACTACGAAAAATCTTAAATTTTGAGAAATAAAGATAGTTATCGATAAACTTATTTAACATTATATACAAATTATTTTGAACTATTTAAATAAATAAAATTAAAAGCTACGAATTTTAAAAATGTTAGGCCAAAATTGGATGTCAACACATATGAGAACTTATTGAAGTAGAACACTTCCTAGAAGGTGCTTGCGTAGATTCGTTACTCCTCTAATATTTGTAAATTTTAACTTCTAAGTTGTAAGTTGCATTTAGGTTTTAATTTAATAAATTTAAAGGCTTTATTCAAGTCTTTTTATACAACTATTCTCTTGCATTTTAATTTTAATACATACATGCATATTTACATATATATATTAAACTTACTTTAAAATATTAAATTTAAATTTTTAAAATTTATATTTGAAATTTGAAATTTGAAGTTTGAAATTTGAAATTTGAAATTTCAAAACTTAAGCAATTTTATTAGCTAAAAATGTTATTGAAAACCAAATAAATTAAAAATGTTATTCATTAACATAAAATTCCAATACAAATAAATAAACATATAAAAAATAAAAAAATTCCACATCCCGTCCCGCCAAACACTGTTGTAACACCCCAGAAACTTTTTAAAACTAAGACTTACAACATCCTTCTCAGTGAATGAGATTTTACCAAGGAATTAAAAGTTTCTTAAGTATTCAGGTCAGGTCACTAGATGTAGCACCTTTAGTTCCAAAAAGAGTTAAATTGGAATAGCAAAATTTAAAATTTTGCAAGTTAAAATAAGTATTAATTTTGGATTGATTTCAAACAACCATAACTTCTAACTCAATATGAGTTAGGTGGGCTATAAGATATTTAATGAAAGATCTTTGAATTATCTTCCCAACGCCACTGAGTTTGCTAAGTTCGAATTCGGATGAGTGAGATATGACCTTTTGAAGTGAGGCTGTCCAGGTAAGGGAAGTTAGCCGAAATTAGTGAGGGGTTTTTTGGTCTTTTCCGTACCCAATCAGATTTATTTCATTTTTACCAATATTATATGGGCATTATCCTATTAGTTTCATTTTCATAATCCTAATATACACCTAGGGTTTTAGTTGAGAGTTCAAGTAGAGAAAAGAAGAGGAAAACAAACAGAGGATCAAGCGTTCGTCGAGATTCTTGCGTCTTGTTGCAAAATTCCGCCATGGGTTTAATCCCTAAGAGGTATGTAAGCTTACATAGTGGTTGTTTCATTTACCCATACTTCAATCCTGATTTATTCCGTGTAATTTCGTTCTTGAAATTTAAGAATTTGAGTTCTTGATAAGTGTTCTTGAAATTTCTTAAATTTTGATGTAAGATTTTACTTGGGCCAACTTTAAACGACCATATCTCTTATAATATCAAGAGTAAGTGATCCAAAACCTATTCAATTAAATATGATTGAATCTACTTTCCAACGGCACCAATTTCACATCAATCAAATTCCCGAGTAAAAATAGTTATGGCTATTTTAGTAACCCATACAATGCTGTTACGAATTAGCCAACGAGAAAATATTAAAAAGAGCCATTTTTGTCTTTTTACCTCTAAGAAAACCATCAAA